GACCAAACATTAATAATATATTATTATTCAACTTGAGTGGAACTGTCTAGATATGTTCACCAAAATATAGTTATTGTTATAGTCTTGATTTCGATAAAATCTTTCATTCAACAATATATCGATAATTTCAAATCAAGTTTTTCTTTTTACATATTTGATGAGTGAAAAACAACAACGGTTCAACCATTATTAGAGACTTCATATCTCTAGAGGCATATTCACATGAAACTGACACTTAAAAACTTCCAAGATTTCTGCGTGCAAAAAAAATCAGTTCAGAAACGGAGTCGCGTCAGACCGGCAGTTTCGAGTTTGGCTCAATTGTTCATTTTGTTGATCTATTGAACCATATGGAAACCTATTGAAAAATTCTTGTACAGGACGATTTTTATTTTTGAAAATTTATTGAAAAAAGTGGTACTGTACTTTGTTTCGAAGGTTTTTTAATTCTCCATACAACTATTTATTTCTTTATTTATTATTCTGATACTGAAGACGCCAAATTGATTGGAGAAACGTGCGTCGAGAAGAGTATTGCATTTCTGGTGATTAACGTCAGAAAAGTGGTCAAAATACAATTGAATAGAACTGGCAAGCACTTGATGAAAATCCATATTAAAACTTATTAATACATTTCATTGCATGATTTTCACTATAAAGGATTCACAAAAACCTTTTCAGGTAGATTCATCCGTTAGAAAGTAGGCAAACAAGTAGGTAATATGTTAGAGTATAACATAGTTATGATTTAGAAGTAAGTTATTATCAACGTTCGAGAAAGTTATTGTATATCGAAACACGTGTCGCGTTTTCTGTAAAACCCTGTATAGTGAAAATCATACTTACAATAAACTATATTAATGGGTCAAAATACTGTTTGAATATCTTTGTATTATAGTATCACAGTTTCCAATATGCTCTCTTAAATTTTGGAGAGAAGTATGTGAATCAGATGAAATTGTACTTGAAAAAAAATAAGTGAGAAGTATGTTAGAAAAATTATTCATGCTATCATAAAAAATTGAATATTCTTGTCATGTTCTCATCATGGATAAAGGCAAATGAATGAGGCTATGTGTAGATATTCGTCAGTAATGATTCCAGAAATAACAGTTCATGAAAACATTTCAATCAAGAGAAATCCAGTTGAAAGGTAGTGTGAAACTAGTGTGATGGAAATTTCAATTAGGCGTCTACAAAACAGTTTCATGAAGCAACTGGACTATTGAATAAATTAATATTTTTTGGTTCATCCTCTGATATATGAATAGTAAAGAATTCAATTCAAAATATAGCTTCACTAGACTGTTCATATTCGTATTTGCCTTCTGTAACTTTCGCCCCAACTAATAAGGAAACAAATGAAAAAGTTTTAAGACATCGAGTTCAGAGGATGAAAGTGGGTTTAGTTGTTTTCACCATACAGAAAGAACTGATGAAATAAATAACCTAGTCAATGAGTTCAATCAACTTCAAGAAACAGGTCAAAGAGTTCACAAGTGGAAATTTGTATTGAGGCCAAGATCCTTTTGAATAGGTATGCTAGAAAAGAAATAATTTAAAGAAGCTGGACGCAGCCCTATTTTGTTTTTAATCTACTCCTAAACATTGAGACATCTTCTCCGAAATGCAGTGTGGAGTTTTTAGAACAATGGCATAAATGAGTTCGCTTATGAAGCTACAGCTCAGGGTGTTGATGAAATCCAATGAAACAAGGCGTGTTCATGACTTAATAGTAGATTTTCAAGGGAATAACTTTCTCACTCAAGAATCCATTAATGTGAGTCTACAACATATTGTGATGTTCAAACTTTTTTATCAAATATCAAATCTGAATTGAAATTTGTTGAGGAGAAATAGACACCTTGAAAACGTTCTTTTTAACATTAAGGTGCCCCTTCTAGAAATGGTATATCAAATTCACATAATGGTAGTTGATGATTATTAACTGAATAATTTTGAGTCAGNCTTTAAAACAAGGTGCCATTCGACCTACTTTCCCTATCTAAATAAGGGTCGTCGGACGCACCCCTCCGAGGGGGTGCCTACTACAAAAAATCTGATTAGTCTGAAAGGTGTCCGAGCTTTTTTAAAAAATAATTACTTTTTGTATTCAAAACAGCTCTGTTAAGTTTTCGTTGTTACATACTGTATATGTTAATGTTGCAAAATGTTCACACACCCATTATTGCGATTCCAAATATCAATGAATTCAAATTCGCATTATCAAGTCCCCTCAGATCACTTACTGTTTTCTAACTGAAAAAATATTTTGAGCTTTAAAGATTTGTTGGTGATAAAAAGTGAAACTCGTTTGGAAAAAACATTTTGTGATGAAAGATTCACAAATAATGAAATGATAGGGTCTTAACTTTTTTGGATATACAATTTTTAGAGGCGTAAAGTAGAATTTAATTTGCTCATGTTAAATTCGTGATGTAGATTATCGAAAATGTATTACATATATCATTTTCAATAAATTGATGGATGTAGCCCTTACTACGTGATGGGAGATCATCATTAAAGGTGAGAAATAAAACTTTCTATGGTTTCATAACACTTGTATAAAGAAAGGAAGTGGTATTGAAACATAGGAAGTTACATTTCTCATATAATTCGTGGTTAGAGAATACATGAAACATCCAATAATTGGAAGGTTCCATAAATAGAGGAAGTCAGTTTTATTAAGGTGTTACAGTAAAATTAAAATACTACATGGGCTGGAAAGTTTCGGGGCTAATACGTAGATGGCGCTAGTCTTATTGCATTCACCAATTTTTCAGTAAGTTCTAACCTTCAAAAGAAAGTTGTGAAAATTTCATGACATTCTACTCATAAGTTTGTGAGTTATTGTGCTAAGAATGATATTACTTTTTTGTTATTTTAAAAAAAATGGATCGAAAACAATTTCGTCTTTTAATCTTACACTGCTTCCTGATGGGAAAAATATCGCTTGAAAAATATTTTGAGAACTCGGCTCCATCAGAAACAACAAATGAGGCAGTAACACCAGAAAACATAAAAAAATTCAAAATCGCTTTGAATGATCGGAAAGGGTAGTTACGTGAGTTAGCTGACATTATGAAGGTATCAAAAAAAACGTGTTGGCTTTATATTGCATGAGCATTTGACTATGAGAAAGCCCTGTTCAAAGTGGGTGCCGCCCGAGTTCCCTGTTGGCCTAAAACAAGAACACCATGATGATTCTGAGCAACGTTTGGCCATGTTTAAACATAATAAACCGGAATTTTCGCGTCGATATGTGACAATGTATGAAACATGGATCCACTTCACTCCGGAAACAAAACGATCGTTCTCTGAGTGGAGAGCACTGGTGAACCTCGTCCAAAGCGCCCATAAGCACAACGATTGGCTGGAAAGGTCATGTCCTCGGTATTTTGAAAAAGACTATAATGACTGAACTGGGAATCTGAAGGTAATAGACTATGCGACAGAAGGTTTCAACCTGGGAAAAGGATACTACACTGGAGCGATATGTATAGACGTTTCCAAGGCGTTCGATAGAGTTTGGCACGACCAAAATGAGCAGTTTTGGCTACTCGATGCCGTTGCAGAGTAGGACCAGAACGATTACTGGAAGCAGGGGTCCCACAAGGTGCAGTCCTTTCATCACATCTCTTCTTGGTATACACAGCAGACGTGTCCAAGCCAGAAAACAACTTTAACAAGTTGGTACTATACTCGGACGACACGGTTCTGCAGGCGAGATCAACAAGCCAAGCGCATGTCACCAGATACTTGCAACAGCAGGCGAACAGATTAGAGGAATGGGTCAACCACTAGGAGTCCCCATGGGACTCCTATAACATGCAGAAAACGTGTTTGACAGAAATCGATCGCACTACAATACAGCGCTACGCGATCTACACGAAGCATTAAATAGGAATGACTCCAGATTCCGAGAAAGAGAAGCCCAACCAAGCAGAATTAGTGACCACCCTTAGGCGGCTCCGGTAAGTATAAAAATTTTTTAACCAGATTTTAAACCCACTTTTTTGCAGATTAACTGAGAAACACTTGTTCGCGATCTGAAGACACTCGTCTCCGGTTAGTTTTTGAGGGCCCCATGCAATAATTACATTCAAGTAAAGTCACGATTCAATAAAATATCAGATTAGAAAGTGAAAGCACCAAAAGGTTGACTTTCGACCGCAGTAAGTCAGATGTCACTCTTGCTGAAGTGCCTATCAGTAGGTTGAGGTCCACTCATAAGAGTGGATGTGGATGGATGAGATGGGATGTTCTGCACACAGTAACGGTGTGGGGAATATTTTATCTCAGGGCAATCAACCCCGGAGGGGGCATGAGAGGTATCTTGGGATGTGCGTGGTGTAATATTCATCAACTATCTTGAGAGGGGAAATACCATTAACAGTATATATTATAGAGCGTTTGAAGGCCGAAATTGCGGAAAAACACCGCATTTGAAGGAAAAGAAAGTGCTGCTTCATCAATATAATACACAGTGTCACAAATCAATGAGAACAATGACAAAAAACCACATGAATTGAACTTCCACATCCACCGTATTTGGCTCCCAGCGAATACTACCTGGTGGTAGACCTCGAAAAATTCTCACCAGTAAAAACTTTCACTCTAATGAAGAGGTTATTGCTGAAAGTGAGGCCTATTTTGGGACAAAAGATAAATCGTAAGAGCGGCGTTTTTATGGTTGTGTGGCTCTTGATGGAGATTACGTTGATGAGTAAAGACAATTTTGAAGAAAACAAATTCGGGACTTTTCAGTCCAGTTTTACAACTGATTCAATGTCAAAAAATTTATGTTGTTTTTAAAATACTTAATTTGATACACCTCATTCCTCAGAAATTACATGAAATACTGGCACAATGCTAATTCCAGGATGTAAGATTCATCAAAAGGAACGGAGGTTCAACTCAGTTTCATCACTGAACAAAAATCTATGTTCCCATTTCCTCGACACCTGCTGATGAAGAATAAATAAAAGATGAAAACTTACCGGCATAGTTTGACTCCCGTGCAAGCTATTAATGGCTGCTTGTGCTTCCTGATGTGAGCTGTATTTCACGAAAGCACAACCTATAAACAGAAAAAATTACATCATAAATAAAACAATGTAGGAGAAAAATTTAGCGGAATGGGAATTCAGAGTTATTGAATGGGGCGACACACATTCAGCGTTGGGCTTTCACAGTATAACCTACTTCCTAGACGCGTATACGCCGGAAAATTAATGTTGGGAACATGCACAGACACTTTTATGAAACTTGAGATATACGGTCGGTAGAAAAGAGCGTTCATTCAACAAGTTGCTTTTTATTTGCTGATTGTCGTATGCACAAAATATGGAGCATGGAGCCCATTAAAAAAGCGATAAGAAATCCACTTATTAGAAGAGCTTCTCATGGAAAATAGTGTTTGCAGCCGTTTGACACAATTTTCTGAACCGGTTTTGTATTATCATTCCATTATGTTCTCAAAATAGATGGATAAAATAACTTTCCCTTATTTTTACCAAGATTTTCATTTGCAGTTTGCTTCAGTTTACTCGAGAATGGTTTGATAAGAAATGAAAATCTTAGTAGAAATTCATATTTTATATTGATTTCCACAAAATTAATAGGTCATCAATCGAACAAGAATATAGAATAGAGAAAATACTTTTTGTTTAATTTCTACCAAGACTTTCATTTGCAATTTGTCAGTTTACTCGGGAATGGTTCAAAAAATCGAAACCGGTCCACAAAGATTTTTATTTGCACTTTGCGTCAGTTGACTCAAAAATGGTTTAATAAACCAAAACCGGTCGTAACAAATAAAAATCTTATTAGAAATTCATATTTGATATCGATTTCCACAAAATGAACAGGTCATCAATCGAACAAGTCGAAACGGACTAACTGTAGAATAGCGAAAATAACTTTTGTCTAATTTCTACCAATATTTTTATTTGCAGTTTGCGTCAGTTTACTCGAAAATGGTTTAATAAACCAAAACTGCTCGTAACAAATAAAAATCTCAATAGAAATTCATATTTGATATGGATTTCCACAAAATGAACAGGTAATCAATCGAACAAGTCAAAATGGTCTAACTGTAGAATAAAGAAAATAACTTTTGTCTAATTTCTACCAATATTTTCATTTGCAGTTTGCTTCAGTTTACTCGAAAATGACTCGATAAACCAAAACCGGTCATAGCAAATGAAAATCTTAGTAGAAATTCATACCTAGTGATTTTTTTTGCTGAATATCATTAACATAATGATTTTAGTGAGATGAGTAAATAAATATTTCGAAATGGAACATCTAAACATGCATTTCTTTCAACATACCTATACAGTAGTTTTAAACGCCCGTTGAAAAAACAACTACTTGTAGGTACGTTGGAGGAAGTCAATCTTTCGAGATTCCATTTCGTAATATGTCATTTTTTAACACGTATGTATTTCTCCCAGATACATTATTCGGGCTTATTTGATTTATTACAGTGAGATGTTTACGTCAACAGATAGACCATGACATTGAATATCAAAAATATGTCTCATATTATAACATTTTTTGAGCTAATGAAAATCGTATTTTTCAGTCAATGAAAATCTGAATCTGTTCATGAATTAGACAACTGAGAAAGGAATGCATTTTTCGTGTTACTACAAAAAATATTTCAAGATAAATGTTTTTCTTTGACTGTCAACGGCTTCAACTGCTTCGGTCATTAGCCATGTGTCTGGGTAGGCAATGTTAATAACTTCCACAGCCACGTAGGGATCATCATGCCTTGTGATGCACTGTTTGGAATCTTTGGTGTGGTAATAAATATTACTGGCGTTTTTCCCAACACCAAAACGTTATTTTAACACCTCGACACGTGTTTAGATCACCAAGTGATCATCTTCAAGAAAAAAATCAAACTCAATTTGGAGGATTGTCGAAAAGGATGAGAAGAATTGGGTCAGAACCTGCTTCAGATCCGAAAAAACTATCCGTAGCAGCTTCACGAACACCAGGCCACCAAAAGCAGATTGCGATCCCAATAACTGCATTTACCAGATACCCTGCAAGATCGAAAAATCCTATATCGGTGAAACTGAGAGGACATTGAAATTCCGCATTGCCGAACACAAGAAATATAGACAGCGAGGAGAAACCAGCAAATTGGGAATAGCAGACCATGTTTGGACTCATCAACATAACATCGAGTGGTTCCAAGCTGAGATTATCCACAGGGAGGAACACTGGTTTAGGAGGAAATTCAAAGAAGCCTCATATATGTTGTCTGACAATGCATTCAGCCAAGCTAGTGTAGAAATACGCAACATATGGAAACCCATAATCAAGCGGAAAATGGCCAACTCCCGCCAAACCGGTGAAGCGGAGAGAGGAAAGAGGGAATAGGCCAAGGCACCCGAATGACGTATAGCTAGTCATCTTTCTGAAGTCCAATCATCACTGAAGACGATTGTAGATACTAACAATTGAAGCGTCGTGAAATAACTTGGCTTGAAATTTTTCAATTTTTATTTTTTCATTGTTCAATTTTCAATTGTTGTTTTTATTCTATTCCATTGTAATTTCATCTCAGGGTTTTTTTGCTTAATATACTTGTTATTTTCAGCTATTCATTTTAATTTTATCGATTGTTTCAGTTATTTCAAATCATTTTATATCAACTTAGACAATGGGAGTCCGAACTAATGAAATTATGTCATTATCCACCAATGGCAGCATAAATATGTCCTAATGATATGAAGTGGTAGTTTCGGAACAGGAACAACTACCGTCAGTAAACCTACTCTATAACCTCAAATGAAAATAGTTTCTAGCTGGGCGCGAAAAGTTGACACTTTCCTTTGAAACGCCCAAGAAAAATCACCTTTACATCTTGCCACGATTCATTTCCGCGTGACTCTCCAGTTGGAGTTCTCCCGAAATTAAAAACTTTCCATTCGTCCAGGGACGAACGGGGTTCACTTCAGCGTACATTAATTTCTGAAACAGGATCAAGCCTTTGTTTCGTGAAAATCGCCAATTAATTGTAGCCCCAGGGAAGGCTCGTGTAAATACACTCTCTATACGGAATTCCAATAAACTGCGAGGATAAAGAGCTCATAAAATACCTACAGCGACTTCGGCTCCAACTTTTTGATGCGAGTTGAAGAAAGACCGGAAATTTATCAGGTTTTGTGCCAAACATAGTACAAGAAACATCTCAGTAAAATTTGAAGCATTTTCTGGTTAGATTGAGGTGAGTAATCATGGATGAAGGTTTCTCTTCTCAAACAACAAAATGCGATTGTTCATTATTAGGGCTTGAAGAGAAGAAAAGAAGAAAGAAAAATCTAAGAAAAGAGAAGATTATATATAGATATCTGAAAAGAGATATAGATATATATGGGTCCAAACATGCTCTGCTATTCTTGATTTGCTGGTTTCCCCTCGCTATGTCTGTTTCTTGTGCTCGGCAATGCGGACTTTCAATGGTCGCTTAGTTTGACCGAACACAGCAAATCAGGAATAGCAGAGCAACGTGACATCAAGTGGTACCATGCTGAGATCATAAACAGGCAGGAACATTGATTAAGGAGGAAATTCAAAGGAGCCACATACATGTTGTCCAACAATGTATTCAGCCAAGGTAGCGTAGAGATACGCAACATATGAAAACCCATAATCAAGCGGAAAACGGCCAACTCCTGCTAAACCGGTGAAGCGGAAAGAGCAGATAAGTGAAATTACCCGAATGACCCATAAAGGATCATCTTTTGGAGGAATTAGTTCGAAGACGATTGTGGATACCTTGGCTTGGAATCTCTTAATTTTTTATTTTTTGTGTATTCGTTCTATTTTTTACTTGTATTTTATTTCACTGTTTTTTGTATTGTTTTTTATGGATTCCAAATCATTGTATATAATATTAGACAATGGAAGCACGAACTGATAAAATTCATCATGAAACATTGTCAATCACCTTCAAACAAATGACATAAGTAATTTCATTTGGCTTTGGAAAAAGTTGATTTCACAGTACAGTGTTCCAAATTCTACAACATTACGATCGATGTGAATTCAAACGATGATGAACACGAAGATCTAAAAAGTGAGTATTACTTAAGAAAAAGTTTTCAAATTTGAAACGAGCCTCGTGAACTTGAAGAGAAGTGAAATAAAAACACAAATTTACTTAGTTACTCAATAATACTATGGATGAACATTATTATTATTATTAGGTCTATTTATTTACATCATTACCTTAGGTAATCAAAATATTATTATTGTGTTAAATTGTGATATCATAAATCATGATTACTAGATGAGTAACCAGTGACAGTCTTAATCATCTCCTGAAGATGCTAACTAGGTTAACGAAACGGTCTTCGGGCGCGTTCTGGTGTGTGTTTTTCTGTAGAAGTGAACAGTTATAACTTTCACTTGAATATGGATCCCTCTTATTCTCCAATTTCTCATTTGAAGTCGAAGTAATGGAAACACAATTCATGAGCTCAATGTTTCACGTGTTAGGAATCACACGTTACAAGTTGAGACCTCGTTAATCCTTTGCTCGCACAAGTTTCGACTTCTGAGTGTTGTCGTTCGTAGGTGGTGTGACAGCTGGTTAACGGAAAAACAGATTTTAAACAAATTTTTTAAACAGAATCGATTGATTTACCATCCATTGAATGTTAAAAATAAATATAAATCATTTTCATATAATAATTTATTTTCATTTATTGATTCTTATATTATTTTTGTAGACAAATCAAAGAAGCTAATGATGTTGTTATCTTTGTTGAATGTGTCATGTGTTATAACTTNTGAAATCGGATTGGAAATAAACTCGTCCCACTATTTCAATTTTCAGAATACACTTCATACTATTAGAAATTTCCAGCTGAATTCCCCACATAAGTTGAGCATATCGCGAGAGTCAATTCAACGAGAGGTTACGAGTAGGAAAAATAATTATTGAAAACAATATCTCATTTGTAATGAGATTGAAAGTATACTTACAGTTTTCTCCGAATTCACCTGGGAAATCTAGCAGCACTTTTCTCAACGAATAATTTGCCTACCAAGTCA